CATGGGACTCACAGCCCACGGCGATGGCAAGTGTGACTAGCAAGACCCGCCCGTGCCAAGAAAGTCTTCCACAATGACAGCATGGGATTTCAAGAACTATTGTTGTCAACATTTGTGTTTAATCCGTTTCTTCTCAGATGCTCAGTTTTCATCCTTTCTGAAATCCTTTCTTCCTTCATTCTCATTCCCTTCCTGATATGCCCTTTCCACACAACATGGTCCATGGCATTTTGTTCCCATGAGTCTACCTCAAAACCTGTATCATTCATGTCCTGATGGCACACATCTTTATATCGTAGTAGTGGTCGGCCTCGACATCTTCTTCCGGTCTTTCATTCACCTTAAAGGATGTCCTTAGGGACTCTGCCCTCCTCCATTCTCCAGGTGTGATGCACTGGATATCACATTGATATTTGGACACTAAATTACAAGTTGTTTGGTGATTGCTTCTCGTACGTTATTTGACACTGATTTATATGGATTTTTTTCCCGCCAAGGTCTTGTTAAAAGTGCTTGGTATTTTTCTTTCTGGCCTCCTCTTTTTAATGTCATTGTCCTTAAATTGGGGGGTGGGGTGGTTGAAGGGGGCTGTAAGGATCTTGCCATATTATCACGAAGGAGTTACCTAAACTAAAAGGTTGAAAACCACTGGGATAATGCGTCCCAAGTCGATTCTTCATATAATGACATATACATGTGTGGTACCATCCACTAGGGCTCAGTAGGGAAAACATCTCCCAACATAAATTTCCCAGGCTGTTTCCACAGCCGTTAGTTTTCATAAATATAGCAAGAAAATTCAACTGTGGTAATCTGGCATTCCATACTCTCACTAACATACCTTAATCTATTGAAATCAACATACTTCTTTTGGGCATTCCACAGCTGATCCCTGATGTATGAAATCTCAGATTTGCACTTTTCGATTTCCACGGCTTTTAAACCTTCAACTGCAGTAAAAGAAAAAGGAAGGGGAAGATGTCAAGAGATTAGAGAAAATGTAAGGAACAATTTAGCAAATGGAGACAAACAGCAGTATTGATAATAAAACGAACTGCAAACCAGATCAATAAATTAATACATGAAGATTCACACGAGTGGGATTAGAGTTTAGAAAGTGAGCAGAAAGTGGACGACGCAGAAGGCATGAAAAACACGCTAGCAGACACACACACACACACACACACAGAGATGGACAGAGAGAGAGAAAGATATAGAGAGAAACAGAGACATTGAGAAAAGGAGGCAGAGACAGACAGAGACAGACATAAATAAGAGTGATGCAGACATATATGGAGAGTCAGAGTCGGCGAGGGAACCAGAGAGATGGATAGAGCGAAAGACATTAAAAAAAAAAGGGGGGGGGGGGGTAATATATGAAGCGACCCAGAACAAGATGGTGAGAGAGAGACACACAGTTATGAGAGCGAGATAGACAAAAACGATAGACAGAGAGAGAGAGAGAGAGAGAGAGAGAGAGAGAGAGAGAGAGAGAGAGAGATAGCGCGACAATAAGTATTTGAAATTGCTGTCGGTACAGACAGACAGACAGACAGACAGACAGACAGAGAAATAGACAAACGGAGAGATAGACAGACAGAGAGATAGACAGAGAGACAGACAAGCTTATGAAGAGATACAGAGACAAGGTGAGAAACAAAAAGGCAGAGCTACATGTAGACATATAGACAAGAAAAGATAGATACAGAGAGAGACAGAGTCAGAGAGAGACAGAGTCAGAGAAAGAGAGAGAGAGGGAGAGAGAGGGGGAGAGAGAGGGAGAGAGAGGGGGGAGGGAGAGACAGAGAGAGAGAGGGGTAAGATGATCAATCGGTGTTTGATGCTGTCAGTATAACCCCACTGACTTTACATCCCGCGAAATTTCCTGTTACACTTTCTTAGGCTGTGTCGCCCTTGGAGCACAAATCAAATAACGAATCCCTGCTTATATGAAGCCTTGAACCTATTCTCAACGCGCTGCAGGGCGACAGGGCAAGTTTAGACCCATACATCTGCTGAATATAGTTCTCGCCCTATATGCCCAGGCTGTAAACTCCGCTGGGAAGTTCTGGATGTTTGTCCACTTCTGGATTTCACTCTTGTTTCAGAACTTGATAATTTTACATGTTCAGGTCAACTCTGGAACTACTGGCTACCCCCCTCAGCACCTCTTTTTCTTGTCCAACCTCTCTTGAGTGATTTCGGCCTTTGAATCAGCACCTCTTTCTGGCTAGCATTGATTTCCTCTGGTCGCACTTGTCTCAGAGCTTCAACTGGCCAGACGCATGGAAATTTACTGGACGGACTTCGGTTAAGTGATTTTGTGTAGTCTTATTTATAATTGTAACAATGTATATTTATGTGCCGAGCAATACAGGCGTCTAGCAGATTAGACTGGAACATCAACAAAATGGGTTCAGTGGTTATGGCCACCCCTCTACACTCAGGGGGAAAGGCAGGAAGAAGACACAGCGAGACGGCTACCAGTAGCATCATAATTAGAACTCCGGCCTGACTGCTAAAGATGAGGAGGGAGCACCTATGGAAATGACCAGAGTGCTGCGATGTTGGTTTTGAAATTAAAACATAGGGCTAAAACTATGGGTTTCTCCTCAAAACTACGGCCACTTATTATGCACTTTTTATGGCGGCCGGGGGAGTACGCGGGAGTTCAGTCCCCTGGCCGCATTGCAATTACGGAGTAGAATAGAGGGAAAGAAACAATTGGCGATAGCACTGCTGAAATAATATGGTTAGGGTTAGGACATTCACACCTAAACGATTGAAGGGGTCTGGATGCTACTGAAACGCTGAATTCGGCACCAATTGGGCACTAGCAGGGCGCTATAGCCGTCATATTTAACAAAATTCAAATGGCGCCACTGCCACAAGCAGCACATTGTCGGCCATTATGTGCAACTCCTGTGTCAAAATTATCAGATATAGCGGCCGTCATTGTGGGTAAGTTCTCGACGTTACATGTGTAACCCTAACCCTATTATGACAGCAGTGCAATCGAAAATTGTGTCGTTCCCTCTGTTCCACTCCGTAATTGCAATGCGGCCAGGGGACTGAACTCCGGCGTACTCCACGGCCGTCTTAAAGTCCACGCCGTGTGGCGTTGGTAGTCATGTCTATCCACAACTGTCTGTCTCATGTACTTTTAATCAACTCTGATGAAGGCTTTTGAGCCGCAACGTTTACTTGTCGTTCGTGACTGTAACAATGTGAAGCTGACTAGTCTAAGTACTAGTTTTACTTGACGCTTTTTTTTATTTAAAACCTTTTCATTGTATATCTGGGAGTGATGTGAATTATGAACTAAATGAACTCTGCAGGTGAATTAACTTGCTAGAGATTACGGCAGCCATCAAATGTTTACACGGTACCTGTTTATACTAGGCAGAAATAATTTATCAGAGATAATTTCTAGCCTGGCCGGTTTCTCTCCCAATACCATAAAACAAACACAGCGTCCTGGTCGTCATGGCAACAAAACAACCACGAATTAGTTCCGCTAATTATCAATATGGGCCTCATGTGACACTCAAGTGACTGGTCACCTGACACGGCAGTTTAAACAGGGTCTCCGCAAACTTGGATGTAATATTTGATCTCATCCGTACAATGCAACTCGCCATGCGTTGATTCAGACGCAAGAGGAATTAAATAGTAAGAGGATACAGTGTCCTCCTCAGGAAGAGAAGTTAAATAATTGTATGGTTGGGGGTCAGCACAACATGAGGAACTCTGTTGTTAAAGGGTCGCTGCATTAAGAAGGTTGAGAACCACTGTGTTAGACTTTAGCTGTTGTGAACACTGGATTTGCTATTGTGAACACCGGATATGCTACTGTGAACACCGGATATGCTACTGTGAACACCGGATATGCTACTGTGAACACCGGATATGCTATTGTGAAAACCGGATATGCTACTGTGAACACCGGATATGCTACTGTGAACACCGGATATGCTACTGTGAACACCAGATATGCTACTGTGAACACCGGATATGCTAAAATAGCAGTGCTATATCCAAAGTCATATTTTTTTCCAATTTTCAGCTTTGCGGAAATAGGTGTCGCAGATTCTCTTTGAGTCCCAAGGAACGCATTGTACGTTTACGGGTTCCTACCTATAAGCCCAGTGGACGCATGATACGTTCACGGGTTCCTACCTTTAAGCCCAGTGGACGCATGATACGTTCACGAGTTCCTACCTATAAGCCCAGTGGACGCATGATACGCAGATTTGATATCTTTCTTTACTACGCATTTAGTCTGTGATGCTATACCCTCTGGGACTTAAAGAGTTAACAGAGGATCGGTATCCGAGCTAGGGCACACTCGGTTGCAAGGTATGCTGTAATTTTGTGAGGCCTCGAGCTATCGGAGACTCCTTCTTGTGCAGGTCTTCTTGGTAGTCTCTTATCTCTTAATGTTTCTACCTGTGTGTTGTACGCTTTCGATCCTGGCATCTTTGGGTTCATTCTAGTTAAATGGCCAAACCATTTCAGTCTTTGTTTTTAAATGAATTGAATTATAGATTTTGTTCAATAGCTTAGGTAATTTCATCGTTTCTCACACGATATCTTCTAATTTTGTCCACAGCCTTTCTCAAACGTCTAATTTCGCAGGTGTTCACTTTTCTGTAGTGTTTTAAGTCAAAGTCCAGGTCTGACACTGACAGCACAAAGCTGGTCTGAAAATTGCACTTATAATTAGTCTTTCTGACCCTGGGAAGCCTCCGTGGTCTAGCGGCTAGACGCTCGCCTGCGGATCGGAAGGTTTTGGGTTCGGTTTCTGACAGAGGCCGGACTTTAAAAAAAATTACCTTGGCTTTCAGGTCAAAGACTGGATTGGGTACCGGGTACAGTCCTAGGAAGTAAAGGCTGTCGGTGTGATGTTAACCACATCAGCCACAAACTGCCTTTTTGGTTTTCAAATATAGGTCTAGCCCTATATACCCAATACACCTGACAGGCGTGGGAAAGGGTGCTTTACTTTTTGTCTCTACTGGGAAAGCCGGGTGTGTCAAAATTGAAGTTCCAAAGCTGTGACGATTAAAAATCGCACAGTGCTTTTACAGACACTAAAGTAGAGGTTTGAGGTTTGAACAACGGATCAACATCATGGCACACGGGTAGTAACCCATTAGTGCTCCGTTTTTCTTTTAACTCAAGTCTGAGTCCGAAGAAGCTCAGCACAAAGCACAGGTTCTCTAGTACCGGCGATGATCCTGGAATACTTTGGGTAGATTTTAAACTCCAAATTGTGACAGGGCAGCGCCGTTAGGCTACTCTTCTAGATATCCAACTGCCAAGAGATTTTTTGGTACGTGTGCAACAATGCACACGGGCGTCCAATTTCACTACCCTGAGATCAGAGGGAATTACTAGGAGTCAAAGTCCACGTGACAAAATCCCAGCCCTTACCGGGGATTGAACCCGGGACCTCTAGCACTCGAGGCGGACACCATGCCTCGAGACCACACAGCCCCCGAACACTATGGTAATAAATCTTTAGTTTCTACATAAACTTAGGACAGGTTAAAAACTGTTTTTATTTTATCGTTGAAAAATCAGATCGGAAATGAAAGCGGTGTCCATTACCTGACCATGGTACACAAAGATCGTAAGTGCTTCCACTGCCTGATGGTAGTGATGGTCACCGCCAACTCTAGAGTGATGGTTGCGGTGATAAGTGAGAGTAGAATAAGCTACATGGGCCCTCAGTTTCGCCGGGACAATGATTGTTTCGAATGCAGGATACGTAAAGTGGTGATAGAAATGGAAAACACGTAAAAGGTATTATCTGGACATGTTTGTTCCGAAACTAGACAAATAGACTACTTTGTTTCGTCGGGAAGAAGTGCATTCTAACGCTGACAGTAATTTTTCATGTTAAATTACGTTTTTTTTTTTTTTTGGGGGGGGGGGGGGGGGGGGGGTTACCTCAAAAATGGGGAATCCTGAAGTTCCCGGGAAGTCCAATTTTATAGGAGTGTTAAGGTAAGTCAGGGTGCTTTCTTTTTAGCCGACTAAAAATGACGTCACGGGACAGACCAACATTTTAGAGGATGGTAAGAGCGGTTTTCCGTGGCTTCCTTGCTTTATCGCGTTTCGCCTGTTTACCTAACCCTAACCAAAACTATACGATTAATCTACCACCCCCAGGAATATTTGACTGTCCAGTGACCTGTGGATTTCCCCTGTTTGTGGTCGGTTAATAATAAAGTACCTAAGTCAGTGTTCATTTTAAACCGTAACACCCCTACAACACTGAACTTTCCGGGGGAACTGACGGATTTTCCGTGTTTGGGGTGAATAAAAAAAAGAGCCGAAATTACTTTTTCCAACTTAGAACATTCATGCTTTGTTCACTTTGCTTGTTTTTTGGAAGTTATATTCTTTTTTTTTTCCTCGCCCCTCTTCAAATCTCATTCCTACACCAGACTGCAGGTTTTACTTTGTAACAGTGGGGTTGCCCTGATATAACTTAGCTGTGATAGACCGCGTAGAGCAGGGTTTCTCAAACTGTTTTTCGCCGCGGCACCCCTATACTTAAAGCGGGTTGAGTACTTAGAAAAAAAAAGAAGAAAAAAGTCCAGAGCAAACGTAATGCTCATTCGTCTTGAATGCGATGAATGAGACTGGACTTATCGACTACATCTTAACGAATTCAGGTAGAGGAACGGTCGCATCCCCGGATAAATACAAGGACAATTAATTCATAGCCCGTAGCGGTTGGCATGCTATGCAGTGTGAAGTATGTCTGAGCTTGAAACACAAAATAAACTCTTTTCGACAGTGGCCAGGGAAGACAACTTGAGTTTTAACTTTTAAGTACCTTCATGCTTTCTTTAATAATTTTTACAATTTTTTGCAAATATTTCTTGTTTAGTGCCACGGCACCCAGTTTGAGAACCGCTTTCCTAGAGGGCCGATTGTCAGCTGATCGCTTATGCTCTGAAAAGTTATTTGTTTGCAGCTAGGTTTTTATTACACAAACTCTCCGTTAAAGACTGTGGTTCATGGGTAGGTCTGTAGCATAGCCTCTGAGCTGAGCGCTCGGTGCGACACTGTGCGCTGTGAATTTTATGTGGAATATTTTTTAAATTTTTATATGTGCCTGTGGCGCGTATTTGGCTTCACTAAAATGACAGGCTACAGATTTCGTCCAGAATGGCCTTTACTTTATCGGAGGTAGTCCCGGTTTTCGTGACTGACCCTTCGCGCAGTGAGCAATTTTAGTGTGGGACTTTCAGTTTTTGCACATGTTACAGGTGCCTTATACATTTTTACTTTGCGTGTGTAAGCTTCAAGGTTTTACTGTGACTGACGAGTTTTTCATTAGTTTTTAATGTGGACAACGAAGGACACTTTGTTTGATTTCCTCTGGCAACATGCTCCCACATGGACTGAAGCCTACTAACCGCGGCACTAACTGGACCATTAAATAACTATTGACCAGTCGTAGAACTCAACTATCGGGCGTGTTCAAGGTAATGAGGTTAATGAAGTTTAATACCGGGGGATTAGGAGACTGAGGTCGCTCACCTGTGCCTCCATTAAGATCAGTGATAAACCGCACACCGATTCATTTGAGAAGTGCAGGCTTCAGCCTACCCGCAGTAAATCAAAGTAAATCAATTTCTGCGCCCAGAAGCGTGACAGGCGAAAGGGGGTGGGACGGGGGAGGGGGTAGATAAATTTACCCATCCAGGATTTGGTGTCCGTGGGATTACCATCTCAAGGACGAGAATCACACAGAAACACATCTCAGAAACGCTGCTCAGTCGTATACCATAGTTACAATAGGGCATCTTCTTGCCAACCCGGTGCTACCAATGCTAAACCTGAATAGTTGTAGATAAATTTACCCATCCAGGATTTGGTGTCCGTGGGATTACCATCTCAAGGACATGAATCACACAGAAACACATCTCAGAAACGCTGCTGAGTCGTATACCATAGTTACAATAGGGCATCTTCTTGCCAACCCGGTGCTACCAATGCTAAACCTGAATAGTGACAGAAAAATGAGGACAGAAAGTTATAACTAACACGCGACTCCTGCAAAGGGCAAGAAGAGATAAGATCAGAAACGATAAGATCCGAAGAATAATCCAGATTTTTTAGGACAACAAGTGAAATGGTTTGGTCATGTAACGCGGATGTCAGCAAACAGTGACCTCAGCAAGTAATGATGCATAGACCACTGGTCGGAACGTTCCCATAGTTCAGCCATACATGTCACCTGGGTCAACCGGAACTCCATGTGTGCGGAAGTCGACGGGATCAAACTTGTAATGCTCCAACAGATCAAAGTACGAAATGATGTCGAACAGACTACACACTAGGTTGAGTGTTGAATCGACATCACAGCACTCGGGACACCTCCATAAGTGCCGAGTCCCCAACTTCAGCAGCAAACGAACAGTTCCAATTCCGATGGTACCAGTCACTGTCTGATTGTAAATTCGTCTCATCCTTCCGGTGAATGGTGAGCGTCGGCCAGATCCCCTGGTAACTCCTCATAGCGCCATTCTCCTCAGACCGTAATGATCTGTCTGCGTCTCCGCACTGTTCACTCGCTCCCAAAAGGCCTACATACTAGTTAAAATGAATAAAGCTCAAGTGCCAGGGAGAGTTAAAGGTCTATGGTTAAAATTAGAAGGATCGACTTCATTGCACCGGATTTTATCCCATATGGCTCAGTCTCTCTTCGTAGAACGGCTAACCACCTGCCGAGAGTCGCAAATAGCACTAACTCCGTAGCTCCGGCGACGATCCCAAGAGATCTCAGTAAAAATTGTACTCGTTAACTAAAGGGCGAAGCCGCGAAACGAACCCACAGCCTTCAGAAACGATGAAGCAAACGGCTCGACCACTTCGACATGGAACCCCTTGCGAGGAAGATTGAAAGAAGGAATTAACCAATAGAATAAATGAATGAATGAATGAATGAGAAAAGAAGATATCAGAATGGAGGAAGAAGGCGGAGAAAAATATGTGGAAAGATGAAGAAGATCAGTAAGAAGGTAGAAAAGAATGTGACACAGAAGACAAAGAAGGAATACAAGAAAGAAGGCTCTAAACAAAGAGATGCACACTGTCGTGTCCAGACTTACTTTCGATGCGTTTCTCCAGCAAATTAATGCGATGATCTAAGTGACTTTTCGTCTCCTCCATCTTGAACACCCTGAAACGAAACAAACAGATGACCCCTTAGAGCAGAGCAGTCACACTTTTCTATGTTGTTGGGAGTCTACGGGCGCTGGATTAGATGCTGTCCATGGTGTCTGAAGGACTGACCAGGATGGGGCCGAAGGGAGGATGGAAGAGGATGGGGCCGAAGGGAGAATGGAAGAGGATGGAGTGGAAGGGAGGATGGAACAGGATGGAGTGGAAGGGACAATGGAACAGGATGGAGTGGAAGGGAGGATGTGACATGATGGAGTGGAAGGGAGGATGGAACATGATGGAGTTGAAGGGAGGATGTGACATGATGGAGTGGAAGGGAGGATGGAACAGGATGGAGTGGAAGGGTGATAGAATATGATGGAGTGGAAGGGAGGATGGAATATGATGGAGTGGAAGGGAGGATGGAATATGATGGAGTGGAAAGAAGGATGGAAAATGATGGAGTGGAAGGTAGGATGGAATATGATGGAGTGGAAGGGAAGATGGAACAGGATGGAGTGGAAGGGAGGATGGAACAGGATGGAGTGGAAGGGAGGCTGGAACTGGATGGAATGGAAGGGAGGATGGAACATGATTGAGCGGCAGTGAGGACTTGATTTTAAGCCCTGTATGACGCATACGAAATTCTCTTTGTGTCTCATGCATGAGAAGACTGACGACCATATATAAGTACAACAGTGCTATTACCTTTCTCCTTTATAAAGTAAAATACGCTAATAGCAAATAAAATAATTATAATCTAATCGTAAAAGAAGTACACAAACAGACGATAATAAAGAGAGAGAAAAATCCGAGACATTTTCTAGCAGCGACATCGGTCAATGTCGGCGACAGATGAGACCCGGTGACATTTGCAACCATTACCAGCCTATTAGGTGGTGATTTTGTGATCGCAGCTCCGTGAATTATGTACTGCTAAATGGAAGCGGTGATGTCTGCTGAGTGAGTGATGTGTAATGTTTTTAGACAGGGAGTCATTCAGAGTTCTTTCCCATCATCTGTGGGTAGGTGAGGGTGAAGATAATTCCCTTACTAGCTCCTTCCATCCATGAAATTGCTTGTTCTTTGTGATGCTGCTTGGAAGGTTCGGGAAAAGAAAGGAGGAGCAGAAAGAGGGATGGTGAAAAAAAAAGGGGGGGGGGGGATTACCGGGAAAAAGAAGAAGGAGAAAAGGGGGAAAAAGAGCCAGAAATTTCCATATATTGAACACTTTGTTTCAGTTAGTTCTTTGCATGAAAGTACAACATACACACACAAAAGAAGCTGATAAATACGCTAGCCGTACCATCTTTGAGCTATCAGTGCCAGACATGGACACTCGTTAAAAAAAAAGTAAAGATCCCTTTCCACGCCTTTAGGTGTATCGGGCATATGGGAAGAGCGCCCATATTTCTACAGACCATCAGCACTCGGTGGGTAATGTGGTCAGCATTACGCCGGCTGTCTTTACTTTCCCAGGACATCCATCCTGGTACCCATTTTAGGCTGGGTCGATCGATCTGCGACGCCCCATACCGTGATAAAAATCCACGCAGCCAGCAGTGGGTTTATGGACACTCGTAGACAAATATAAACATAAAACTGCAACATTTGAGATGAGATGTAAAGGAGATGCGTCAGGACAAAGAAGAAGAGATAGAATCACCAAAGAAGAACTATGAACAGTAGTTAGTACAGTACTGGTGAATCATTTCATAAAACATCAAAGAATCAAATGGTTTGGTTATCTGGTCATCATAGAACAAAATCAACCAGCAGCTAGAACGTACTTAATGAGAACAGCAGGCTGCAAAGCAAGAGATGATAAACATAACCCCAAAAAATGTGACTAAAAAGCAAAACGGAGGGAATGGAAAAGACGCACACAGACATAACCGAATGTTTCGACCAAAGTCTTTATCAACGAACTACCGAATACAGCACAGACTGTGACCAGAAAACTCAACGGGCAAGACGACAGAGTTGAGGAGAGGGAAAAAAGATTAAGGCTGTGTTTGTGTGCATCTTTTCGATTCCCTCCGTTTAACTTTCTAGTCACAATTTGTGTTTCATTCACAATCTCTTGCAATCAGCTCGACTGCAGTTCCCCTCTATTTACATCATTACAAGGCAAGAGGCTGACCAAGAAAAATATGGGTGGCAGGAGGAAAAGAGACACGACAGCAATGCAATATGAATGTAGAACAAAGGACGAAGCATTCATGTGAAGAATATAAATGTAGAACAAAGGAAGAAGTATACATGTAAAGAATATAAATGTAGAACAAAGGAAGAAGTATACATGTGAAGAATATAAATGTAGAACAAAGGAAGAAGCATACATGTGAAGAATATAAATGTAGAACAAAGGAAGAAGTATACACGTGAAGAATATAAATGTAGAACAAAGGAAGAAGTATACATGTGAAGAATATAAATGTAGAACAAAGGAAGAAGCATACATGTGAAGAATATAAATGTAGAACAAAGGAAGAAGCATACATGTAAAGAATATAAATGTAGAACAAAGGAAGAAGTATACATGTGAAGAATATAAACGTAGAACAAAGGAAGAAGCATACATGTGAGGAATAAAAATCTAGAACAAAGGAAGAAGTATACATGTGAAGAATATAAATGTAGAACAAAGGAAGAAGTATACATATGAAGAATAAAAATGTAGAACAAAGGAAGAAGTATACATGTTAAGAATATGAAGGTAGAACAAAGGAAGAAGTATACATATGAAGAATAAAAATGTAGAACAAAGGAAGAAGTATACATGTCAAGAATATAAATGTAGAACAAAGGAAGAAGTATACATGTGAAGAATATAAATGTAGAACAAAGGAAGAAGTTTACATGTAAAGAATATGAATGTAGAACAAAGGAAGAAGTATACATGTGAAGAATATAAATGTAGAACAAAGGAAGAAGTATACATGTGAAGAATATAAATGTAGAACAAAGGAAGATGCATTCATGTGAAGAATATAAATGTAGAACAAAGGAAGAAGTATACATATAAAGAATATAATTGTAGAACAATGGAAGAAGTATACATATAAAGAATATAAATGTAGAACAATGGAAGAAGTATACATGTGAACCATGGACAGTCTAGAGACAAGTTAAGAACATCTGATGACAACATAACTACTGTGTCTGAGAAGAAGACAAAAAACATCGTTCTGTCTGTTCTTTTCTTGTGTCTGTATTTTACTTTGTGTCGCTAGGCGTCGCAGGTTAACAGACAAGTGGTATCTGAGCTAGGGCACGCTCGGTCGCCCGGTATGCTGTGATATTGTGAATTCTCAAGGTGTCAGCTTCTCCTTCAATTCATCTTCTTCTTGATTGTCCCCTACCTCTTGGTGTTTCTACTTTCATCTTGTACGCTCTAGTTACTGGCATCACTGGATTCATTCTCATTAAACGGCCCAAATAGTTCAGTCCTTTTTTTGCTATAAATTTTTATTATAGGTGTTGTTCTGTTGGTTCTGGTAATTTCTTTGTTTCTCACACGATCTCTCCAGGTGTTGTTCTAAAACATCTCATTTCGCAGGTGGTCAGTTTTCTTTCTCGTTTTTTCGTTAATGTCCAAATTATTCAATTTTTGTGATTGTTTGAATGTGACTAGTTCTACTTTTCGTTGTCTTATATCTGAAGATTAAAGGCCGCATGGCTAGTGCTTCCGCCCCAAATTGTGCAGTTTAGGATTTTATTTGTGCCCTGGCCATCCCCCTCTCCTTCTCCCTTCCCATCGCCTCCATCCCCCTCCCCATCAACTCCATACCCATCCCTCTTTCCATTCCCCTCACCCCCCTCCATCACCATGCCCTCACCAACTCCCACCCCAATCTCTCTCACCGTCCCTCTCCTCATCCCCAATCTCCCCACCGTCCTCCTTCCTATCCTATCCCCTCCACCTCTATGCCCTCCCCTTCCATCCCCTATCCCTCACCATCCCTCTCCCCACCCCCTCCTAATTTCAATCACTCTCCCCATCCCCCTTATGATCACTCTCCCCATCCCTCGCCTCCTCACCATCCCCCTTATGATTACTCTCCCAATCCCCCTCGCCATCCCCAGCCCCCTCACCATCTCCCCTTATGATCACTCTCCCCAGCCCCCTCCCTCTCCCCAGCACCCTCACCATCCTGATCCCCATCCACTGCCCCTCACCATCTCTCTCCCCATCCACTGCCCCTCATCATCTCTCTCCCCATCCACTGCCCCTCACCATCTCTCTCCCCATCCACTGCCCCTCACCATCTCTCTCCCCATCCACTGCCCCTCACCATCTCTCTCCTCATCCACTGCCCCTCCCCATCCCTCTCCCCATCCACTGCCCCTCACCATCAATCTCCCCATCCACTACCCTCCCCTCCCCATCCCGATCCCCATCCACTGCCCCTCACCATCCCGATCCCCATCCACTGCCCCTCACCATCCCGATCCCCATCCACTGCCCCTCACCATCCCGATCCCCATCCACTGCCCCTCACCATCTCTCTCCCCATCCACTACCCCTCACTATCCCGATCCCCATCCACTACCCCTCACCATCTCTCTCCCCATCCACTACCCCTCACTATCTCTCTCCCCATCCACTACCCCTCACCTTCTCTCTCCCCATCCACTACCCCTCACCATCTCTCTCCCCATCCACTGCCCCTAACTATCCCGATCCCTTTTTCAGACAGTAAAAAAAAACACAACCTCGCTTAGAAAAGCCGCTGACCACATCACCCACCCAGAGCCAGTTGGTCTTTAAAATACATCTCTAGCCCTCTATGCCTAATACGCTGGAGGTAACAGGTTCAATTCCCGGTACGGTAACTATAGCCTATGATTTTTATGTTGTCTAGTGTGTTCTTCTATCTTTCTACTTCTTTCTGTGAGTGCCGTTCACAATACTTTCTGTTACTTGATTAATTCATAAGTGTGGAAAAGGGTCCTTTACTTTACTAAGGGGGGATTCAAACCTGGGTTTTCTGCCCGTGAATAGGCGTTCTTAACCATTTGGCCAGCCGCTGCTTGTGACTACACAAAACAAAAATAGATGAAACAGTCACTGATACAACAAACAGCCGGCCGGGCCATCCATCATTCCTGGCAAAAACAGATAAGTGCGGAGGCTGAAATGTGCCAATCCACGCTCGACTGAGCACGGTAATGTATCGATAATTGTTCTAATTGGCTTTGTTGCGAGTTGTGCTACGGCGTAGTTTCCGCAACTGTTCTCTTCTCGTTGAATGCCGCCTCTCCGTCAGGCATGTGTTTGATCGGACTGTCTTCTTGTAGTGTCTGTGGGCGTTTGTTGTTGTTGTTTTATGGTGTTGTTGCTGTTGCTTTATTACGATGATATCACTAGCACTTGTGTCTGTGTTATGAAAAAATGTTAACTGAAAACTGGGAAGAAGGGAGAAAAAGTGGACCGATTGTCTGTCTGTCTGTACAGATATGTGCAATTTTGTGTAAGTTCGTGCACGTGTGCGTTGGCGTAGGTGGGTGTGGTTGTGGGAGTGTATTTCTGCGTGTGTAAGTTTACATGTATGCGTTTGTATGAAAAATGGGGAGGCGACGAGAGAGGGAGAGAGAGAGAGAGAGAGAGAGAGAGAGAGAGAGAGAGAGAGAGAGAGAGAGAGAGAGAGAGAGAGAGAGAGAGAGAGAGAGAGAAAGAGAGAGAGAGAGAGAGAGAGAGGGTGGCAGAAATACAGACAATTTAATCACACAAAAGAGAGACAGACAGACTGTACCTGTTGAGCTGGTCGGCCACGTGGGTCAGTACAGCTTGGAAGGTGTCCTGGTCGGCTGGGGACAGAGAAGTCAACAGGTCAGTTTGCCGCGGGCAGAATTCTCACAGACAAAACAGCGGGTCACCTGGGACAGCTGACAGGTGACCCACAATACATCATGGAATGCCGATGGATGAGCTGGGGACGGGGGCGCTAGGCGCAGGGATGAACTGAGATTTCGTAAAAGTAATGTTAGTCTCCCCAGATCACACCGATATACACACTATCTAATATCTGATCGGTAGTTCCTGAGCCCCGTACCCTTCGCACAAGGTCACGGGGGTATTTTGCAACGCCGTTGATATCGCGTGTTGTATATTTCAGCACTCCAGTTCCTTTAACATTCCAAAAACATAAAAAAAAACTGGCTCTAACGCAACTCCCGCTAGAGAGTGCTGCAACCTACGTCACAGACATTCTCTATTTTGGAATGAAAGTATAAATGCAAGACATCACAGAAACCAAACAACAGAGCGGGACACACCTGTAACCTTCAGAAATGTCGACAACCCCACAAATTTGTAAATTAAAAGTGAACTACTTTGTTTGGGGAGATTAACTTGAGCCTAACCCAAGTCTCAATTCGGCCATGCTCCTACTTTGATAACAATTTAAGGCTGTGTCGACCTGGGAGCCAAGGTCGTTTGTGATGAAAAAAAGGGCAGTCTCGGATCAGGGCTTGAACTCGCGACCTTTAGCTCCGCAAGCGAGTCTTTACTGTTACACAACGGCCGCTTCAAGATTTGTTGAGGCCCCATGCTATATGAAGTCCTAGGGCCCCTACAGTTATAAAACTAAGCCAGCTAATTTGAGGAAACATAAAAATAGGTACGCCTTTCAAATATGTAGATATAAATATATTATTGTTTAATCTAACGGTTGAATAAGGTTTCTGGGATCTGTTCCCGGGTGATCATCATCCAAACGTTGGTACTTTGTGTCACCGGGTGTCAGTCACTCGATGTGATGTCCTGTTGGGCTGAACGTCAATCAGGCTGTTACTACTTAAAACACTCTTTTTTTTTTCTGGAGACAATGTTAAATATAGTAAGTGAAAATTGCATTCGACATATATAAAAACAGAATTTCGTTTACCCCCCCCCCCCCCCACACACACACACACACACACACATGTGCACGCACACACACACACACACACGCACGCTGCAATCTTTTTACCTAAATCTCCGGGCAGACGCCAGATGCTAGCAGAAAAGTGACAAATAATACAAAATGGTCGACAAACTCTAATAACATACGAACGACAGCACACAGATTCATCACCCAGATCCCATGACGTATTTGTTCTATTTCATTTTGAACTATTGTAATCTAGGGTTGGGTTTAAACATCGGATCAACATCATGGCACAAGGGTAGTAACTCATGTTGTTGTTGTTGTTGTTATTGATCCAGCGGCGCATGAGCTTTCGCCCTCTGGCCCAAATGCCATGTAGTGGAATTTACATGTTTTCACAAGCTGTTCTTTTCCTCCATACAAGGTGTTCCACCTGCCTGGTCTCTGAGGGAATATCATTCTTCTAGTTTCGTTGAGTATTAGGCACTCAAAGGGATTATGGTCACCAGTTTCGTAGGGTCAGTTACATAGCTGGGACTCTGAGGAGTGTTGTGGCTGAATTCTGTTTAGGTGTCCATTGAGTGGAGTATGTTGTGTTCTGAGCCTGAAGATGGTGGTCTGGTCCCTTTTTGTTAAATGGTTAATGCTGTCGTTAGGATCAGGGCTAGCCATGTGTCTATAAACCTCTCTTCCAGTATCTTCCATAAGTGCTCTGTTTTACTTCAAACTCAAGCCTTAGCCTGAAGAATCTCAGCTCAGCGTACGAACCGACGAGGATCCTGAATTACTTCAGGTAGATTTGTAACTCCACATTTTGCCCGAGCAACGCCGTTGGGCTACTTTTTTCGATTTCCAACTGCCAAGGGATATATTTTAAGTGCGCAACGTGCAGATGCCACACCTCGAGACCATGCATCCCTTTCTTCTTCTTCTTCTTATTATTATTATTATTATTATTATTCCTCTTCTTCTTTTTCTTCAATTTCTTCTTTCTTTTACCTCTTCTTCTTCTTTTTCCTCTTCTTCTTCTTCTTCTTCTTCTTCTTCTTCTTCTTATTATTATTCCTCTTCTTCTTTTTCTTCATCTTCTTCTTTCTTTTTCTTTTTCTTCTTCTTCTTCTTCTTCTTCTTCTGCATCATCATCTTATTCTTCTTCTTATGCTGCTGCTTCTACGTTCGGTATACAGATCTGGCTTATTCGTATGCCGACTTTAAAGGAAACATCCTTAACTAGCCACCTGCTACGACATGCCTCCCACACGCAGAGTACGATCTTCACGCTGCGTAATCAAAATAAACACATCCTGATTGATAAAATTCCTCAAAACCAGTGTTTTCCAGCCTGTTTGTGTGCCATGCCCTGCCTCAGCCTCTCTACAACTATTATGCCCCCCCCCCCCCCCATGTAACTGAAACTGTGGAGGAGGCCATTTTAGTACCCCCTCCCCCTTTTTAATAATCTAATTGCCACCCCCACCCCTTGCTTCCCACACGTTGGACTGCGCAATGGCTTCCAGTAAGGTAGACCCGACGATGTCTTATCTTCAAAGGTCCGCCACTGGTTTCATATAACTTAACATTCAAACAAACAAACAAACAATATATATATATAACAGTCACAATAACGAACCCGTTTTTCAAGTCTTCACACGTACCCATATAGGACGAGACCAATATTCAACAGACCAATCAGTACTCAAGAGGGGGGGGGGGGGGTGGTCAGCATAACGCCAGCCGCCTTTGCTGTCCATGACTCTAGCTGGTACCCATTTGAGACTGGGTCGACCTGAGAACCAAAGTCTTGTTTTTTAAAGTCGGGTTCCGTGAGGACCCAAACCCATGTCTATCCGATCCGTAGGCGAACGTCTAACCGCTATAGCACGGCGGCCCTCGCAACCGAGACTGGTAGACAGGTGAGAACGTAGGCGGTCAGAGAAATAGATATAGATAAAACAGTTTAAAAACAAAGTACTAACAGGCCGATAGAGAAAATGATAACTTTTTGTTTTGGTTTAAATATCCAGAAGCCATGAGTTGTTAACCCTATGGCTCGGTATTATGGATATCGCAAGCCTTCGGCCTTGATTCAATGGGCGTGAACCCGGACCACATAGTCAGGTTTAACCAACTGAGCTAGCGCGCCGGGCAAGAGGATAAATAGATAGACGAATGGATTCAATGACAGACAAACAGACATAGAAAGATTCATACAGACCGGTAAACAATCAAATAGACGGAAGGAAGGTGTACGTCGCCAAAGATCGGACGGTCAGACAATAGACGGAGGAAATTAAGTGAGGACAGACAACTAGACAGACACACACGAAGACAGACAGACACACACGAAGACAGACAGACACACACGAAGACAAAGTCTGGCAAGCGAGGAGACGGACAGAAGGAAAGAGTTCGCCACACAAAAATCAGATAAACAGACAGACACACATGTAGACACAGTCTGACAAGCGAGGAGACGGACAGAAGGAAAGAGTTCGCCACAAAAGACCAGATATACAGACACACACACAATGTAACCAACATTCAGCTTGTATCCCCAAAAATGCCCTTTAAAAGAAGTTTTAATTATCTGACTTCTCCCCCTCCCCCCTAAATCTCCCCAAGTCGACCCCGAGACAGCGATCCAGCTTCTGTGTCAGTCAAAGATCGGAATTTGTGTCCGTTTCTGGCCTGTAATTCTCTAGGGAGATCTTGTTAAGCAGGATCTGTCAGCAGTTCCCAGGGTCGGCCCACCGTCTGCCTGTCACGACTGTTATCAAAAGCAGAGATTCTCAAACTGGATGCAGCGGCACCCAGGGGTACCGCGAGCGAATGCCAGGGGTGCCGCCGCAAAAACCAAGAATTTTTCAAAATCTGCTTGAGATCAGCGAAGACAGCAGTTTAAAACATACACAGTGAAGGAAGCCAAGAAGAGTTCTGGATGCAGATGTATTCAGAAGACTATGCTATTGGCAATGCTGCAGGATATTCTCAACGTACGCTCACATAAAAACAGTCACAGGAGTAAACTTTCTGGGTCCCGTGACTGGAAGGTAAAATAAACAAAATTGCCCATTTACATAAAAACAGACAGATAAAAAAAATGCAACCGGTTTTACTCTCCGCACTAAAGACACCCGAACATTAAATGTGCACTTTTTGTTCTTCCTTTCCTAAGCATTCAAACCGCTTTAACGGTAGGTGTGCCGCGATTTTTTTTTTAGCACGACAACGGTCATTCATTGGCACCTTTCCGTCTTTCCTGGCGATAGTGTTATACTGCGCTATGAGGAGGCATGAGACTCACAGCCCATGGCGATGGCGAGTGTGACTAGCAAGACCCGCCCGTGTCAAGAAAAGTCTTCCACAATGATCGCATGGGATTTCAGGACCATTGTTAACATTTGTGTTAAATCCGTTTCTTTTCAGACACTCAGCTTTCATCCTTTCTGTAATCATTTCTTCCTTCACTCTCATTCCCTTCCTGATATGCCCTTTCCACACAACACGGACGAGGGTGCCGCAGCGACAAAAGTTTGAGAACCACTGACCTAAAGGCTGCAAGGGTTGGCTTCATTAGCAGTCTAGGCAATCTGGATCACCAGAATGTATATAGATAGATCATTTGTGGTAGCCGGTGAATAAGATAATGAATGATCAGAGCTCACTCTCGATCCGTCTCTAATGGGTCACAAAGGTTTTGTGTATGTTTGTGGGCTGGTTAAAGTAAATTAAAGGACCTTTTCAGACGCCTTTAGGTGTCCTGGGCAAATAGGGCTGGACCTATATTTTATAGACCAGTCGGTACCTGTTGCATGATGTGGTCAGCATCATGCTGGTCACCTTTACTTCCCAAGATTGCACCTGGCACCCCCCACTCAAGGCTGGGTCGACCTGAGAGGAAAGGTCATTTATTAAAAACAAAACAAACAAGTCTGGCTC